AAAATTAAAAACCTAAAAACGAAATTTACCAGAGTGATTCAAATTTGAAGACCTCTTCTAACATTAGGAAGAGAAATACTACTACAACAGTAGGTTTATCATTAAGAACAGTTTGATGCATAACTCAAAATGGTGTCAAATGCATTATATATATAAATATAACTTTACGTGTGAAAATATGAAAATGAGATACAAGCTACAGAAAAGCTATCTAACGCATGCTGCTGCAACATTGAAAAAATTTGCAACGCAACCTCTGAAAGGCAAGTTGACAGTCCCTTTCACAACCAATCTTTCTCAATTCAATTCCTTGGCAATTTGAGGGTCAAGACTTCAATAAGACCCTCCTCAAGCCCTTTTCTTTTTTCTTTTCTTTTTGGTCAGAGAGTAGAGACCCTTATACATCATCCATAGTTTCCTATACATTCCTCTGCAAAACCCTACAATATGGTGCGGTTTATGGTCCCAGCCTAAAACTAAAAACCCACCACGCCACCAGGTCCACATACGTTATTTTTACAGTTCTACAGTACATCAAGCCACGTGTCAATAACCCAATTGCACCACCATGCTTCTGATGTTCCAAAATTTTACCCTTCTTTGGCTCTATTTGCTCACATTTCACCCAAAATAAAATAAATACAGAAGGAAACACATGCAGATAGATGATAGTAATGGATATGCAGAGCCTTGCATCCAGCCAGCCAGCCAGCCAGCCAGCGAAACAGTTAAATGGACAAAGAGTGAAAAATGGGTTTAGGTTCATCATTAGTTGTGGGCCCCACACGAGGAGGGCCCACTTCAAAAACAAAGAAACATATTGATCTTGTGGACCCTACCTGCTGATGGAGGCCTCGCATGCCTTTCTGTTCTGGTAGGGGAAGGAAGGGGAGGGGAAAATAAATTAATTTCATGAGGCATTTAGGGGCAGGCCAGCCAGAGAACCAGAGATTTTGGAGACGTGGGCTATGCCATATAGTTTTGGATCCTGCAATTTTTTATTGTTTCCCAAACTCCATGTTAACTTAAGCTGTGTAGCTGTGATTGAATTATGAGACATTTGCTCCTGCAAAAGACATATGCCTTGGGAATTTGCTACACTATTTTGTCTCTATTTTAATTTAATTTAATTTAATTTTGTTGGCTAGAAATTAAATTAATATATTATTATGGTTTCTTTTTGTTGCTAAGTCTACAGTGCCAGATATTTCATCATGCATGCTTTGTTTGGATGCTGTATTTTTAGTAAAAACCCACTCAATAGGGAGAAGAGAGATGATGGGTGATGCGAGAGTTTCTGAGATTTTAAATGCTTCAAATTGCAGGCCAACTAATATATTTCTTGGGCAAATTCATTTTTTGTCTGATATGTCAGAACTTTCCCTGACTTTAGGTGGCATACCTTTCACCATATTAAATCACTTTAATTTCATTTCTCTTGTAATTATATTTATAACACGTCTCTTGTAATCATGCGCGCGGCGCATAGACTACTAATTATTTGAATTGATACGTTATGGATTATATTAATTACCTTTTGCAGATCATCGTTTCAATATTGTTACATATATATATCTCTGATTATATTGCATCTACTCCCTCCTCATATCCATATCCCTATCAAATTGAACCCAAATCACCTGGAACTAAACATTAAAGTTGAAAGAAGACATAATAATACTCAGCATTGCTCAAGCTGGCATCACCCAAGAAAATTAGGTCTAAGAAATCGGCTCCATAAATTTGCAGGTGTGAACAGATACCAAAATGTGGTCCATTACAAGACATGTATTCTTCATGTGAGGAGGACCAAGGTCCCCACTTTCGACAGCTCCTGAAATATAAAAATATGGGATGTAATTAATTTGCACCTTCAATTTTATTATTATGTGGAAAGTTGAAAATTGTAAAACTCTAAAGTACCCCTTCTTTTTTTTTCAGACCTTCACAAATATCATCCAATTATGATAATAATTCATGGTCTGTATTGGGATTCAAATTATTTTAACATGCTAGTAAATTGATAAGGATATTATAAAAATGTTTGTCAGTAAAATAATTGAATATGGTGAATAATATTGTTTCTTTCAAAAAAAAGACTGGGAAATCTCTGGAACTTTGCCTCCACTTGGTAGATCCCAGATGGTTTTCCGTTCCATGCATGTTGCTATCGGGTAAAGTGTGATCATTATATGCCAGAAACAAGAAAATAAACCATGTTTTATAAAAACCTGATAAAATAAAAGAAATAATCTCATCAACAAATGAATGAAGAATCTAATATTTCGCATTGCTGATAAGCTTCCCTTCCAATAGGGTTAATTTGGAATTACGTTGTCATGTTTTTGAAGATGATTGAATGTAACGTAGGGTTTCTCGATCCAGATTAATATTGAGTTTCGGTCATTGTCATGTAACGAGAAAAATAGAATCATATATGTTTATAATATAAACAAAATAAGAATCTGCCATGTCCATTGAATTAGCAATATGAAAGTGGAATTTCAGATGCGTATCAACCCTAGAGATTTTGATACATTGATTGTGGCCTTTGTGGTACCTGTTTGCCAGTTTGGTCAGGCCTCCTCCTATACAATATATTGCTACAATTAATATACTGATACATCTGAAGCAGCAGCCGCAAATATTCAATTATAAAAAAAATCAATTTAGCAGTTTCAGAAACCCCAGAGTTTTTTACCTGACAAATATCTGATCCCATTTTCTTTCTGTAAAAATTTTCCCAGGAAAATAATTTTAGAAGCAAGAAATTTATTGCAAAAAGAGAGGCATGGACTTTAGTGGAGAGTCTCACGGATTGGTCTTACAAAATAAACCAGGTGGTGTGTAAGTTTTTTCACTTGGGAATTGAAGAATTCCCAGAAATGGAAATATTAAATTCTGTCTTTGTTATCATCATGCTTCATATATCTTCCTCATATATCTCATAGGCCCGTCTTGTTCCCTGGTCTCTTTGAAAGATAAACTATTTATTTATTTGTTTGTTTATTTATTTATTTCAATATTAAATAACAGATTTTTTCCAGATTATTTTAAATATACATATATCAACCACTGTTTGGTTTGCTTTCTGGTCAAGGATTCCCGCACCTGGTCAAGAAACTTATGAAAAGATTTCAGGTTTCGGCCTTTACGTAAGACCCCTCTCACTTGACCAACAAGATTTGCACCAAGTTTTGACTGATTTCAATTCAAGTACCACATTTAGATGTTACTTGAGCTAAAATTCATGGACATCCAATTTGATTTTTCCTATCTGATGCTTTCACTACTTTTGTTGTTTTTATTATGGTTTTTTCAATCAAATTGTGATTATCATTCATTATGTCCCATCCCATGTATGTTGTTAAAGTTGACACTTGAGATATCCACCTAACAATTATGGTTTTTTGAATCCTTTAACATATATTGTGGGGGGTCTATTTAGGTATTTTGAGCACCCCTTCAATTAGGCAATTCTTGGTCAATTTGTAATCCACCTAATGCTATGTGAGCAATAAGTTGAATACGATGGGGTCATGATCGATGAGACGCGTTTAGGGTATGCTAGTAATTTAATCGTATTAAAGTATCTTGGTAATTAAATTGTATCATCTCCGTATGTGAAAAATGTGTTGATGATATTAACTTAGGGGCATGGATTGGACTTGTCCCATCAATATATGATTGAGAGAGGAATTGCATGGTACCACGACCCATCATGATAGGAATGAGTGAGGAAACACGAAAAAAATGTTGTTGGTATTAGAAAGAGAATTGAAGATAACAAAGCCAACAACCTATTATTAATGTGTGTTCCCACATGTGGTACTTAAAAATTGAAAACCAAGCAAAGTAGTAAATAATCCAATCCAATCCAAGCCTTTTTTGTTGGGGGGATGAAATTGAAACTTGGTGTTGTGTGAATCTACCTGGAAATTGAGGTGGGTTTTGTCTGAAACTCAGGGAAAAAGACAGAGTCCAACTATTAAGATAATAAGGAGATAGAATATAAAATGAAATTGCATGAAAGACACCCAGAGAGACAGAAGAGCTCAGAAACCAGTTAGTGTTTTCTGAGAAATGAAGAGAAAGAGAGAAAAAGATGGGAGTGACTTGAGTGTGAGGAAAGGATTCAAACACGACTGTACCAAGAGAAGAGAGAGAGAGAGAGAGAGAGGTGTCCTGTGTCTCCAATTGGACAAATCTTATCCCATCTCTCTGCTTATTGGAAAGGGAAGGGATCTCTGGATTTTTCCCACCCCTCCAATCGCCTTTTAAATCCAGGAATGGCCAAACACCAATAATGCTGTCCTGCACGTGATCAAAATCACCACATATATATATATACAGAGAGAGAGAGACCCAAAATCCAACTTGGTAATTGGTGGTATTCGATAGAAATTTTGAATGTTACCATTATGCATCTTTATTCCCCATTGATTCTAATATCGGGTGTTGCGTGTCCATCAACAACTAACAACTGCTTTTGATATGGAAAAGAGAAAAGGATGAAATCTTAATTTTGCTCAATTGGGATCTACAAGTGAATTGTGTATCTAGTTCGAGGTTGGTACATTAGGGGGAGGCAAAAGAAAAAAATATCCCAACTAGTCTTAATTTTGCCCCATGAGACAAGGTATTGAAAACCAAGTGCTAAGGGGCGGCCGATGGATGGAATTAATGGATGAACTAGCTAGCTGGGTTGAACTTCTTATTACGTCAGAGTGGCCTATCATTTTATTTGTTTGGCAATGTAGCGCTAACATGGGGTGTTTCCAGACAAATAGTTTTACAAATGCCTTTACCACAACACAAGAGACACACACACTCTCTCTCTCTCTCTCTCATCATTTTTTCAATTACTCACTCAAATTAAAATCCCAACAAAAAACACACAAAAAGAAAAGTAAGTAGTAGTATATGGGGAATTTTACACTGAAAATAATGATTGAATTTTTCCCTCACGCAAAACCTTAAAGTAGTACTCTCGTACTTACATTTTCCGTTCTCTTTCTCTCTCTGCTCTCTCTCTCTCTCTTTCTCTCTCTCTTTTGTTGTCATATCTTATAGGGTGGGTAGCTAGCTCTAGCTAGCTAGCTAAAATATCAAATAGTTCTCACAGTGACACAGTCCTTACATCAAACCCATAATCTGCACGCCTACACCCTCCCTTTGCTCCCACACCTTCCCCTGTAGAGCTACCTAAAGTTAACCTTTGCTTTTGCCTTCCTCAACCCCAAACTATTCTTCCTTCCATCTACAAAACCCATTTCCTCAATTTCTTCATCTCTCGCCAAACATGTCCATAAACCACTTTTCCTCAGACCACCCAGAAACCCAGTGGTGGCCTAACACTGCCCACCACCAACAACAACAAGACCCTTCCAGAGCCCATTTCCTCCCTCAATTTTATCAAGACACCCACCACCACAATTACCAGGCTTGGCTCAACTCCCAAGAACAACCCACACCCATGTCCCCTACTCCTCCCACCCCCACCACCCTCAATTTCAATCTCAACCAAAACGACGCCGAATCAGACCACACCAACCAATTACAGCACCAGCTCCTCCTCCAATCCTCCCCACCGCTCGACGACCACGACGAGGAGAACGAGCCCATGTTCGAGAAGCCCTTAACCCCGAGCGACGTCGGGAAGCTGAACCGCCTTGTCATCCCGAAGCAGCACGCGGAGAAATATTTCCCACTCGGCGGGGGCGATTCGGGGCTCCTCCTGAGTTTCGAGGACGAGTCGGGCAAGTCCTGGCGCTTCCGCTACTCCTACTGGAACAGCAGCCAGAGCTACGTCCTCACCAAAGGCTGGAGCCGCTACGTCAAGGAGAAGCGCCTCGACGCCGGCGACGTTGTTTTGTTCGAGCGCCGCCGCTCCCACACCGACCGCCTCTTCATTGGATGGAGGCGCCGCTCCGCTGCCGCCACTCCCTCGGCGCA